CCCCCCCCCCCCCCCCCGCTCTCCAACAATTTTGGGAAAAGAAATATTAATTAGTGGTTGTAGTGACTCGGCAAAATTTGCCTGTTATTATTCTTATTTAACATGCGTGACTGCGAACACATATATATTGTCTCTCACGGCTGGATCTGTTTGCCACATCAATACATCAATTACACACTTCCTTATCAGGTCAACAACAATGTTCTTCCGGTCTTTATTTGTCTGTAACCATGGCAGCAGTTACATGACGCGCATCAGGTTGAAACTTAGTTTCGTATGTCTCCACAAAATACGTACATTACACATTTTCTTTAAAAATAACCGCTAATCACTATAATAAGTTTTCGTATACATTTACTTAAAAATAACTCGTGGACTGTCTCTGAATATGGGCGGTTTCGATCCAGTGTCCTGACAAATTCCAAATAAATTTTCTTTAAAAATACCTTTATTAATAATTAATAGTATAAATATACCATTTCTGTGAACCATATATGGAAGACGTTCTAATACGGACCGGTTTTTCCAACCCCCAGCCCCCCCCCCCCTTTGCCGGCAAACTTTGGCAAAATACCCGAGAAGACCTCTGAAGTTTTGTAGACCATCCTCATGTAGCGTTTCTTTCAAATTGTAGTTACGCTCGCTCAGTAATTAAATTAATTCGTATCCTACCGTTCCGAAAAAAAGCGCATCACTTTGTTTTGTATCAGTGATTTCGACAGTGAAGTGGAAAATATCCAATGTACCTCTATTTCAAACAAAATCTGTTTTTTCGCTACATTTCGTGATGGTCATAAAAATAGAGTCACCATCTGTCTCAACGGCCAATTTATAACAGTTTACACCTGTAAACAGTTAGTTATAATCACTTTTCGGCTGATGAGAAAAATCAAATATACTAGTGTGTAAATGTGTTTTTGTGCCTTTAAATATATGTTATACCTATTGTTATTCTTTTTCCTGTTTACTATGCCTTACTTTTCCTTCATTTACATATGTATATATTCTTAAATTCATTATCTATTTGTTTTTTCAGTGATAAAAGGTTGAAAATAAATAAATAAAAATTAAAAAATAGGTTTTTGCTTTAAGCACATATTAGAGACATTTGTGTATTCGACTACAGTAATGGCCAAAAACATGTTTCAAATTACAGGTCACATTGTAGTCACATTTTACTTGAACGAGTTATTTATTAAATCTGCCAGCAGTGCCTGCTAGTAGGGTCTTAAACGCCTCTTTCAAGGGTCAAACTCCAAACTTACCATAACGGAAGTGACGTCATGCCACGAAGTACGTCTTTTCCCCGAATATTCATTTACGCTTGTATATAAACATGGCAACCTTGTCGAGTTGTGCATTAGAAACTCACGTTTTCGAGTAAAGCGTGCCGTTGCTGCGAACCCTGTTGTATTTTTAATATTGGGAAGGGAAAATCGGAAGCAATATTTCGCAGTGTAGATGAAACACGACGCCGTAGTGGCTCAATAAAGATTGTTTTTTGAAAGTTTATTTAACATGAGCGTCCAACCTCAAACTGGGGAACGTCTTCGTATGCGACCTTGGCTAGAATGCCAAATCAACAATGGCCGCATTCCTGGTTTAGTTTGGGACGACAAGTCTAGGAAAATCTTTCAAGTTCCTTGGAAGCACGCTGGAAAGCCGGGATTCGTCCTTGAACGCGATGCAATGCTGTTCAAAGAATGGGCCAGACACACGGGTAAATACAAAGATGGCGAACAGGCCGACCCCTCCACATGGAAAACCCGATTTCGCTGTGCCTTACATAAATTGCCCGATGTAGAAGAACTAAGAGATCGAAGTCACTTGGAGGGCGACGAACCTTATAGAGTTTTTCAATTCATACCAAAAGGTAAGATTACGAGCAAATTTTCTTGGCATTGTTTTTGTCAGTGCATACAAACATAGTACATTTTGGCTTACAATGTGTTCGGTGATTTCCCAAACAGGAAGTCGGGGAAAGTCTAATTGTTACAACACAAAATTCTGCAACCTTAATATATTTTATATATCTAAGTTAATATATCACTTCCCTAGCATTATCAAATTATATTCCTTTGCAATTTTGGTGCCGTAATTGTGCTAATTAGTAGGTGTGGGGGCATAATTTTGAATTTTAGCAGAGGAAGCACTTTAAACTGAAACTAAGTGTAATATGTCATATTCCAATATATAAAACAACGGTAACTCCGAAAATAAACATTTTAATATTGTAGCTTTCGACTAAGATTCGGTCATCATCAGGAATATTCTAGCTTTCGACTAAGATTTAGTCATCATCAGGAATGAGCTAGAATATTAAAATGTTTGTTTTCGGAGTTATGTTGTTTTATATTTTATTAAAATACTCGGTGTTTCCCGTAATTAATGTCGTATTGCCGTACACCAGTTACACCAGTATCTAATTTCATACATGTAGGGTTAGTGCTAATTGCCTTTTGAACAACCAGCCCCAAGGTGATATCATAAATGTCCCTCGTTTGCTGTGCTCACTTGTGGCATTTTGATGTCGTCTCTGATTCTCTCAAGCAATAAAACTAATATCGCCTCGCTCCTCGAAAAAATAACCTATACTTATCAATTTTTTAAATATTGGTTATTCGATATTGCATTTTTAAAATCAGAGTAACGTATGAAAAGTGAACTGGAGTCTGGAAACTTGTAATAAAGTGCAGGGTTTTCACCGTGGGCTTCAGAAATTCATTGCCAAGATTCGAATGACTTTTCCAAATTGTGCTGATATTAATTATACTTATTTCTAAGCCAAACTGAACTCAAAGTCATCGGACGTCACAAAACATATGTCTGAATCAAAGTCGTCTAACATTTTGTCAGACGGTTCTCTGGCCGATATTTTAAGGCCTGGTATCGAACCTGTTTGGTATGTAGATAAATTTGATTAGTTCAACTTAAAATAAGTTGAAGTGATATGAATTTAGATTCATAAAGACACTTCACTGATCAGATACTAAGGGAAGGTCGAGTACGATATATGTTTCTGTCAAAAGGACTTCAATATGATGTCCGGGATGGAGGTACCTGTAGCCTGCGAGGTAGACACTCAAGTGGGAAAGACCGTCTGCCAGGTTTCACTATGTATTTTGGATATGCCCCCTTTCAAATCGCGGTTAGAAATACCTGTAAATGACCTTACTTATGTAAACCAGGGCTAGAAATAAATGGCCATTACTTATGTAAACAAACAGCACATTCAAATCAAACACTTAACATGGTAGCAATATCAAACAGTCTAGACTTTTATAGCCAGGCAAAACAATTAAAATATGTTTTCCAACAAGCAATTCTCTAACCAATATGACCTCTACTTAGCGTTTCAGAATTAATAGTTGATAGTAAAATTCGAAGCTTTTCATTTGCAAACTGTTGTTATTGTGTGATTAGTATATGACATTAAATTAATGTATATTTCCTCTTGATTGACAACAGCAAAAATAGTACAGCCAATCAATTCCCGTCCATGATAGACGGATTATTCAAATACAAAGCAAAACCCGGCAGTCTTTCACCTCCTTCGCCTCGCCCGTTTTTAGGTGTTCCACTGTGGGCTGACCGTCTGCCACGCAGGCTAGCTAGGATGGAGGGGGTTTGTAGGCATAATGTCTTTTCTTTTTGTTTCCTGAAATATACACTTAAAAAGTCTAAATTAAAAATAGTCAAAAAGTATTATAGATGCTGTAAAGTTCGTTCTGCACATACATTCTACGCAGGCCTACATTCCAATGGTCGGGACCCGACCGTTGGAATGTTATTAATATTTCGCACCTTCCGAATTTTCTTGAAGTGAATCTCTAGTCTGTATTCATTTACAAGCATAGCGAACCAGAAGAGTGTTAAAAATTCAGTATAATATATATCGAATCATATTTTACAACTGTAGCACGGAGTTCAAAATGTAAACAAATCTTTAATTAATTAATGTTGAAATTTTTGAATCTAACAAATCCCTCAAAACGTCCTTCAATAAACTTGATCACAACATATTCTTTTTGTATATGTACAGTAAAGTGAACCTTCCCATAGTCTCGCAATTCTTATGAGAAATGTTTATGCCAGACATGTTTTTCAAAAGAAATGCAGAATTTAAAATTAAGTTATCTTGAAAATGATTCATTGTTACATGTAAGGCCCTTTATTACTTCACTCTGTCTAACACCAGATGATTTTACTCGTCAATATCGGTCGGTCACGGACATTGTCCGACCCATTTGTGAAATTGTCCGACCCATTTGTGAAATTGTCCGACGTAGAGAGGAAACCACCGGACATTCTGTCCGACCTAAGTGAAACTGAGGTTTATTGTTTGTCCGACCTAAGTGTATTTGTGTCAGACCGAACTGTAGCTTTGTCCATTGTAAATCAAAATGTATCCTAGCCCAGGACTAGAGGCTTGTATATGTTAAATGGAAAATCAGAGTACTATTGTATATAAGGTGAACTGGAGATATTGTTTTAACATACTGTAGTCGAGCGCGGGGTGGCGAGCGAAATGGTGAAGAGGAAAACAGGCTTAAGTTGTCGAAGTCTTTTTAATACTGCTGTTTCTGGAAAGCAACTTAATTTTGGCTTGGAAATAAGTATGAAAGAAACAAATTATTTAATATCTTCACAACACTTACCGTTCAGATATTCATTTGTGTCATTCAGACTTACTTCCGAGTCAAAACTGGACTGAAGGTCATCGGATATATCCGACCCCCAAACTCAACGTCATCGGACATTTTGTCAGACGGCCCTGTAAAAGATAATTTAAGGCCTGGTTAAGCCTTAATTATTTCTTGAAATTATATTGGCTAATAAGAAAAAAACTCCAAAACTACTCTCCACAACGGCCGGAAATGCCATTCCAGACGGCCCCCTATACCTCTTCATAATATGCTTTCACGTAAAAATATTTTGCATTTTCACGAGTCACGGATTAAGAAAATCATCGATCACGTTTCACGGCTAAGTAAAATAAGCCCTTCACGCTTCACGCAAAAATTATAGGGGGCCTGATCATGTTTCACGGCTAAGTAAAATAAGCCCTTCACGCTTCACGCAAAAAGTATAGGGGGCCCTCATTCCAGAGGATCTAAATTACAACATCTTGACGAGGAGATGCCCTTGGACATATTCCACTTTCATGTCACTTCTTACAAAAAAACCTCAGGTACTCTAAATTCCTCGGGAACCATGACAAGGGCAGATTTTCATTTATTTGAAAGGAGGGGTATAAAAAGTTCTGATAAATAGGAGGGTGAAGCAAAGTAACCTCCCCCCAGTAAATCCGCCCATGAACCCTGGTCAAGTTGTGTGAACCTGTGCTGGGTCAATCAAACTCATAAAGAGTATCTGGGCAGTAACTCACTTTTAATATGTCTTTTTAGCGAGTCTATTGGCCGATATATAAGTATCGCAATATTGGTTTTTACACTACACGAGTATGTACTTGTTACCATAATTGCGTTGCCTATTTCTGGTAGAGTGTGAGACTATTATTAGGTGATTTATTCTTGAACCGTCTGTGTGTGAGTAGTGTAGGTAGGGCCAATATTAATAAGAAGCTTTTGTTGGTAGGAATGCAACTACCTGAAAATATAAGTAGAATCTCAACGTTTTGAGCGAAGGCCCTTCATCTGGACAATATCCTGCAGACCAAGATTTCCTGCAACCAACAATTTCCTGCAGAGCAAGATTTTCAATTTCATCTTTATGAATTTAATTAATCACCTGAATTGTGAACTTACATGAATTTTGTTTGGAGCAGAATTGGAGAAAATCACTCTCCTACTATATTATTATGAACCCCTTAAAGCCCAAGACTCTTCCCTTGATGAGTAGAATTGTCTGGTATTAGACAGACGTTAGGTTGTAGTGCAACTCAATGTGTTAACTAGACACATGGGCCGACAGTGTGACACCAGCACTCTCCCCGTAAAACTGTCTGGCATTAAACAGAGCAAAATAATAAAGTAAGGCAAATTGGGGCACAATGCCACTCAATAAAATCGCATTCCCCCTATGCATCGATCTGGAATTGGCAATGGGCTAAGTCATTCATGCACCCTGGATTGACATGTCAATCCCAGGCAGCATTGGAAAACCCATGTTTATGGGGTTACCTAGCAACGGTCATGACTATAATGTGTGGGTGCAGTTTAACCTTGGTACCCTCATTTTCTGCTTAAATAAGAATATATTTATGCAGGCCACAATTTGATAAAACCTGCATGACATTCATGACATTGTATGGTTTTAAATCAAGTAAGATAGTAAATATCTGATCATTTTCTAGGCACCAAGACTGAACGCTCTGAGAATGCTCCTTCACCTGCATTTACTGATGTCTCTGTTTCACCCGCACCAACTATTGATATGGTGAGTACAATTGGTTTGATGGCTGTGGATTCATGATGGAGAACTCCACTCTGAGAACTCCACGGGGAATGTTGATAGGGTTGAGATAATTACTATACTGTAAGGTGTACTGTAATCAGACTTGAGTCACAGTTGTATAGCCACAGGGGGAAATGTGGCGGTACGGAAACTCCACCTTACTTTAGGACCAATTTTATAACCTCGTAATGCTTTTTTCCATCTATGACATGAAATATACCAAGTCTGTAGCTTTCAGAATTATCATAAAATGTCTGAAATGAAATAGCATCCTCTGTCCCTAAAAATAGAAAAATGTTCTGGGAGGCCATGCCCCAGACAGCCGGACCCCCTATGAATATTCTGTGTATTTGACGATTGGACTCCCCACTTGTTTGGGGAGTACAAACTTGCTATGCCCCTGATGAGTCATCCAGCTAGTGGTGGGCAAAGGCGCCCTTAGAAAGCCATTCACCTTACATTGGTGTGACACCTTAGTACATATACATGAACTTGCATTTAGAGCTGGACAATTCTGGCCTCTGTAGCTCTGTTGGTTAGAACTCGACAACTGGCCTCTGTAGCTCAGTTGGTTAGAGCTCGACAACGGTCTCTCTGTAGCTCAGTTGGTTAGAGCTCAACAACTGTAGCTCAGTAGGTTAGAGCTTGACAACTGTCTCTCTGTAGCTCAGTTGGTTAGAGCTCGACAACTCTCTCTCTGTAGCTCAGTTAGTTAGAGCTCGACAACTGTCTCTCTGTAGCTCAGTTGGTTAGAGCTCGACAACTGTCTCTCTGTAGCTCAGTTAGTTAG